GAATCCCCTACTCTGCATGGAGGCTCTCCCCTGAAGACAGCTACCCAGTCTTAGAACAACTCATGATGAAAATGCTAGCAGGCCTGCGAGCTGCACCAGTACAGGTAGGGTTTGGATACCCAAGGCAAAAGTAGGTCCGACTGCGGACTACTTCAGACCATTAGGAATGCCCAATACGTGTGACAGGCTTGTTGATGGCACCATTGCTGCTGTAGTCATGAAAGCAACTTGTGCATATATGCATCCTTCGCAAGTAGTCATGAATTGCTTTAAAGAACCGCAGCACGCAGTTCATGCCATACAAGCCTTACTTGACAGTAATACTCCCATGGCTGCGCTACTAGATGATCTATCAAAAGCCTTTGAGCGGGTTAATCCCCATTGGATCTTACATATCCTGCGAATGCGCAACGCCCCGACATGGGTATGTAACTATGCCAAATACATCCTATTTGGAAGGCTCATCCGCCATAAAGTTCAAGGCAGACTTCTGCCACCTAGGGCTGTGCATGTGGGAGTAGACATGGGAAGGTCTTTCTCAGTATTCCTGTTCTGTTTGGCAATGGACCCTATATATCACTATATGAATCGTATCCCCCCGGGTCATTAGTGTTCAGGGATACATTGATGACAACACGATTGCAGGACCAGGACATGACATTACCTGGGTAAGTAGAGTCCACAAGTGCTATCAATGTTGCTGGTCGGCAGGGTTTCAAATTGACCAGCATACTTGTTGGCAAGCTATTAGCTCTGACTGTCCCCCCTTTTCAGTCCAATCCCTTCCTGGGCGGATTGAAAGTGAAGTTATCCTCAGGCAGAAGACATACCCAACCGCACGAGCAGCGATCTTATCAGCTATCCTTTCACAAAAGACACTCATAATTGCACGAGCCGACAAGTGTATTGGGTTGACCCCTCGAGAAGCTTGCCGGATCCTCAACGGAACTGACTACACACCCATATGCTCGTTGCTGGCATTGGAGTGCAACTGTAGGTGCAAAACAGCTCTAGTAATCAACAGTCCGCTTCCAAGCTGGGTGCTACGTCAGTTAGATCAGTCAGGCTTCGGAGCACACTGCATCCAAGGGGTAGCGACTTCACTCGGGCTATTACTGCTGGGGCGCGCCCAATTGTCTGATCGTGACTTATGGACAGTAACTACACATCCTACTACCCTGAAACAAATCAATCCTAAAGCTGCCGAAAAGTTTATACATCGGCTTAGGCTGTTTAGGCAGCCAATCCTCTCGGTTGTCTCTAAGAGTATTGCCTTCAATACGTTTGCACAGAGTGTTGTACTATATACTACATCCTATTTTGGTGCTGCCACGGAAGATCTTCAAATGCTACGGGCAGCAGCAACTGAACTCCTACTAGGACGTAGCTGGATTAGACAAGACCTCCTTGCCTTCGTATTTCGATGGTGTAAAATTTCACCACTACTGGACCCTGGTGTAAGTATCCTTGTTTCCGCATTAGGGCTATTTTTGCGAAAAGGAGGAAAGGTTCATGAACTTTATGTTGAGAGTCCACCGGCAATGAACAGACAAACGCACGAAGTTAGAATACTATGGCAAGCGTGGGCACGTGTCGTTGGGGAAGATGTCCTAACAAGAGCTGTGTCAGGAAGTGGTACAATTAAACAACGAATAAATGCAGTCAAAAAATGTGTGCTTCATCACATGATGCAACTTGCGTCTCGCTATGTTCGTAACAAAGTGCTAACAGCAGGATGGACAGGAGGAGTCAGCTGGGCATGGCTCAGTCATGCGTGCGAGGTCAACAAGCGATGGATTCCTACCCAATAGACCGAATTAGACAAAAAACTACAAAATAGATAGATCGTAAAAATCTATAGATTTCTATCTATTAGACAATTTCGATTTTATCTATTATCTTATTTTTTTTCTTGCAAATAGATTATTTTTTTTAAAACTATTATAGATAAATCTGTGTTTTTTGTCTATATAGAGAGTTTTTTTAATCTATATAGAGAAAAATCTTGAAAATAGATTAAGCTAAATTTTGTCTATTTTGTTGATCTTTCATGGTTTTGACCATGCCAAAATTCAACCGTTACCTTCGAAGTTTGCTCGTGATTCGTTCGAAGTTTAACTTCGAAGTTTATACGTAGTTTATTCGAAGTTTTTACTTTGGAATCATTTTTGTTAGTTTTTCTCAGACTAAAAACTTTCAAAACAATGAAGCACACATGGTTATGTTGTATATGTGAACTTGTTCGATCTGTGTGCTTGCATACATGGCATTTGAACTTTTGCTGTGGCATATCTTTGGGTGGATTCATTCTGCCACAATCGAAGGTTTCACCTTCGCAAGAGGTTACTGTCACAGTAACCCTGCACTGCACAAGGAAGGTCTTGGAAGGTATTCCCCCACAATATTTTTTTAAAGATATTCCGTTATACAGCATCTCTGGGAAAACTCCTTCACACAAGTATCTCTGAAACTTTTCCCTCACAGTGAAACTCACAGGTATCTCCAGGTATTACCTCGCAGTATCTCTCTGGAAGTATTCCCTCACAGTATCTCTCTGGAAGTATTCCCTCACAGTATCTCTGAAAGTATATTTTACCTCGCAGTATCTCTCTGGAAGTATTCCCTCACAGTATCTCTGAAAGTATATTTTACCTCGCAGTAGTATTCCCTCACAGTATCTCTCTGGAAGTATTCCCTCACAGTATCTCTGAAAGTATATTTTACCTCGCAGTATCTCTCTGGAAGTATTCCCTCACAGTATCTCTGAAAGTATATTTTACCTCGCAGTATCTCTCTGGAAGTATTCCCTCACAGTATCTCTCTGGAAGTATTCCCTCACAGTATCTCTGAAAGTATATTTTATTTCGAAGTATCTCTCTGGAAGTATTCCCTCACAGTATCTCTGAAAGTATATTTTACCTCGCAGTATCTATCTGGAAGTATTCCCTCACAGTATCTCTCTGGAAGTATTCCCTCACAGTATCTCTGAAAGTATATTTTACCTCGCAGTATCTATCTGGAAGTATTCCCTCACAGTATCTCTCTGGAAGTATAACCTCACAGTATCTCTCAAAGTATGTACCTCGCAGTATCTCTCTGGAAGTACTCCCTCACAGTATACCTCTGCAACTCTGCAAATATTCCTTCACTCTGCAAAATTCCTTTTCACAGTATTGTTTGAAAAGGCTTGCCTCGCATAATATGTTTCCCAGTATATTCCCTCAGTATATCTTACCAGTAAAATTTTCAGGTATTTCTCTCAAAACATGAAACAACACCCAAGCAATCTATTTCATTTTTCCCTTAAAACGAAAACCGCTGTAAGTGTACATGTTCTGAAAAATATGCCTGCCTCAATATAAATTCACCAGATGAACATTATATTCCATATGGGCGTGACTTGGAGACTTTTAGCAAAACACTTGCATGCAGTTTCGTCATGTTCACGGCGCGGTTAAATCTGAAAATAAATAAGTTGGAGATTAAACTATATATAATTTCAACAAAATTTCATCTCAGATAATAGAGATGGGACCTTGTAAGAATCAGTGCACCATATGACAAACCCTCAATGAACCTTATGGGCGCATTGTCAGTGTACAAGTTACCACGTGAGAGACCTGGAGTGACCATGAGAGTCCAACCTCTTTGCATACCCCAGATGTCTCCTTGTTTTCACACATGTTCATGACAGTGAAGGCGATCTTGTGAGACTACGTGCACCACATGAGAGACCCAACTATGAGCGCGATGTGAATTTACAAGTTACCATGAGAGACTTTGAGTGATCTGGAGAGTCATTACATCTGTTTTGAGTTTGTCATTATAAGGGTTATGGGAAAATGTTTTGTGATGAATCATGCTGTGGACAGTTTCAGTGTAGCAAAGAGATTACATGAACGTGTTGTCATCAAAAATGCAAATATTGTCATTTTTCCACTGTCAAGAGCTGTTGAGAGTTCATGAAAATTGTTCTAAATGCACTGCATGACTTAGCATTTTTACCGGAAGCATTTTCCATTTTCAATATACCCACATAGACAGAGGGTAGATTTGTTTGCCTCCCACCTCGCTTCCCGCAATGGTGTGGATGAAAGATGACATGAAGTTTGTGAAGAAGAAACCAAAAAGCTTCAAGGCTGTGTATGAGGACAACCCCAAGGGCCCTACTGCTTTGAAGCATCCCTTGATGCCATGGCCTCCTGGAACCGCCAAAGGAGAGTCCAAGGGCCGAAAGCAGGACCATACGAAGAAGGTCAACAAGAAGAATGACAACATGGATGAGAATACTGTGCAGTACAGTGTGGACAGCGCAGGCGTCCCATACCCAAGAAGCTTGTGGGAAGCTACTGTGGAGTACCACGACTACGTGCAGTGGAATGAATCTTTTGGCGTGCCAGTTGACACTTTCGATGTCTTCTTGAACGACTACCCCAAGGCAGTGAAAGACAATATTATGAAAGAGTATGCCGAGGACTCTAAAAAATGAGGTGGCCAGCAACAAGAACATGGCCGTTTTGACTTCATATAGTCATAGCTTTGGAAAACTCTAGAGTCGTGACCATGTCCAAATGGAAAGACTTGTGATGCGATGCCATGGTGAAAATGAAACCGGAGATGATGCCAAGCTTCAGGGTTTTCAGGAAATGATACCATCCAGTTGTGAAACCAACAAGGAATTCAAGTACACATGAAACGATACTTTTACATGTATTTTTGAAATAATGTTCTTCTAAATGGAATCCCACCAACGGTGTTTTTGGAGAAAGAAACTTGTGTCAGTTGCTTGCGTACTCTGAGAGTTTGTACTGTGAGAGTTAATTTGCTTTTGCACTTTGAGAGTCGCTTTGAAACGAGTTTCTGGTGAGGGATCATTTTGTATATAGGTGTGATCAAACATCGATATAGGTGTGATCAAACAGAGCTATTTGCTGAACGACATTTGAAAGATATACATCTTTTTCACAGACCATTGGTCCAAGCTATGGTGTATAGACAAGATGCTGTCGCAGACTCCGAAACGTTTAGTCGCAGATCCCTTGGTGGGGGTAGCAGACCTGATGCAGCCAGTAGAAAATCTGCTGCAACGAGAGAAAGGGATCAACCTCGCAAAGTACATCCAGCCGCCGTCTGGTGTTTCTTGGAAAAGTGCTGTTCCCGTTGAGTGGCTCTGCAAACACCAGGAGCTCTTGACGGACTACATCAACATCTCAAAGAACACCATCATCAGTGGCAAAAAGCACAAGTTAGCCCTTGAGAAGCTTCATCATCAGCATGACATACTTGGAGGTCGCAAGTCCACTCAAGATGCCGTGGACTACGTGGACGACACCATCCGCATGGCTTTAAGCCATTTGCGCCAGATGTGCCAAGTGGTTCAGAAAAAGGATACGACGTACCGAAAATGCAGTCCAGCGATGCAAGAAACGTTGGAAAAGTTGCTGGTGAAAATCGACTTTGGCCCGCAAGAATCCTGTACGGACATGGTCCCCTACGATGGCGATGCCCGTGGAGGTGACCAAGGGCAAGGTAGACCGAGTTTTTCGAGGGCAGGGAGCTCAAGGGATGATTTGGGCGCCTCAGGTGGCAATGCTTTGGCGTCAGGGCCAAATAGGAACAGTGAGGTGGAGATCGGAGAGAATGTGAAGTTGAGAATCTTTGGAGAGAAGCCTGAAAGTGTTTTTGACAGGATCTTGAGCAAGAAGCCGAGCGACGCAACAACTCCAACGAAGAAGTTGACCCAGAAGAAGAAAGAGGACACGCCCAGTCCTGGAGACCCCTTTGTCTGCAGCTTGGAGAAATTACCTGGAGATGATGATCTTTTGAAAAAGGCAGCAGAGGTGCCACCTCTTACCAAGGGTGGAAAGTCTCAGCAGCAGAGGCTAAATTCAGCAAAAAAGATGAAAAGGCCAGCAGCATCCAAGCCAGGAAAGGAGGAGAAGAAGTGCAAGAAGCAGAAGACCCTTGACCACACCCAGGGTGAGGACAAGGAGGATGAATGCCCACCTCAGAATGCGAAGAGGCCGGCTGCTTCCACGAAGATGCAGAAAACAAAAAACGATAGCGAGAAGAAAGGCAAAAAGAAGATGGGCCCACCTTCCGACCAGCTGGACCCTAGCAAGCCAGCAGATCGTGCGATTTTGAGGAGAAGAGCAGATTCAGATGCCTGGCACAACACCTTCAAGCAAGAATTCGCCAAGAATGAAGATGAGGACAAAAGCAAGGAGTTGGCAAGAGCAGCTGCAAGGAAGGCAAGAGAAGAGTTTGATCGAAAGCATCCAAAGCAACCAGCGACTTCAAAGGCCAAGGCAAAGGCAAAGGCAAGCCCGAATACGAAGAAAAAGGTTCAGGCAAAGTCGAAGGCAAACAAGAAGGAGAAGGAGATCACACCGGCAGAGGATATCAACGTTCAGCCTCCAGATGTTTCACAGGAGAAGACTTCATCGACGGGCCCACAGGACATCGACTAAACCTCATGCTCCATGAGGGTAGATACAGATGGTAGACCGGACCAATGGTACATACAGTGTGCTTTGGGTGTGAGCCTCTAAAAGGGAGCTCTTTGAACCCACCCTTGGCATATTGACAAATCAATTGGGGTTTTGACTTGCGGTGCAGATCACGACAAAAAGGTGCTTTTTTACGATCACTTTTAGAACCTTTCACGAATACACGCAGTGGCATCCAATGCATAGGCATACCAAGTGCAAAAGTAACCTGTGATGCAAATAGATATATCTATATCTTTCAGACCAAACGGAAATTGTACATGACATATAGTTTCGAACCTTGAGGATGAACCATGAGAGTGAGAGTGTGACGAGTTTAGCAACTTTGAGAGATGCGGATGTTTTGCAATATACGATTTCAATTTTGTTGGAAATGTTCCTGAATCGCTGCAGTGTTCAAAGAGGCAACAAAAAACTCAGTTTTTTAGCGACAGCAAAATGCGGTTTCATGTACATGGCAAACTATGGCAACAAAACAGACACACGATTCCCTCCAAACATGGTTCATTTTCCACCATCTTATTCAGCATCAACAGAGCATATAGGTGAGAAGCAAACATATATTGACTTCTTTTAGATGTGACACACCCATAATCAATATTTGCCATGTAGTACAAAACAAAGTTTTTATTTTGGCAGCAAAGAGTTAGCAGAAGCATGGAGCATCCTCCTCGTTTGTTCCTGGGCAACATTCTTTGGAACACCACGCAGAACCAGATTCAACAAGTGCTGGACAAGTACAAGGTTGGCCAGGGGGTCCAGCACATCCATATCCCTAGAAAGGGAAATGTGATCGATGGGAAGCAGCACACGATCGCCTTTGTCACTTATGAAGAGAAGGAGCAAGTGGAAGAAGCTATTAGTCTCCTACATGATCGCATTCTGGAGGGTGTCAGCACTTACCCAGTGTCTGCCATGCACGCCAGAAGCAGGCATGAAGGAAAACAGTACCCGCAATTTCCAAAGACTACCAGTCAAAGCGGACCTGGAACACAAGACAGGGGGAATCAAACTGTACCTGTCAGACAAGAAGTCGCTCATGAAGGAGTTCCCCATCAACGCCAAGAACAGAAACCGTTTGTGCTCCCCAGAGCCTTCCAGCAAGGGTTGGGGCAAAGCCATGCTTCAAGCAAACATGGCAAACGCTGCAACCTAGCCAACCCTGCCAGCATGGATTCCAGCAGCCTGGCCCCAGTCTGTTTGGTGGACCTTTTCAGTCTGGTGGGCACAGTTGCGCACCTGTGCATTCTGCCCAGCCAATGCATCATGGGGCAGCCTTTGAACCTATGATGGCATTTGGACAACATGTCCCTGGCCATTTTGGATCCCACCAAGTGCACCATGGTACCATGCCGCCCTGGAGGAATCCACCAGGCGCCACTTGCAAGGCGAAAAGCGTAGTTTCTCCAAAGCCGAAGCCAACGAGTCGAGTTCCAAGTGTCGATGAAAACGAGCAAGCCTTTGAGGAAAACCAGTGGTACCGTGCGCAGGATCAAAAGAAACCTGATACCAGCTCGGAGACAGAGCCTCCCACCTCTCCCACTGAGAAGAAAAAAAAGCAGCCCAGCCGGGGACGCATAGCAAGGCCCAAGAAGAAGCTTCCCCAACCTCGTAAGCCGGTGAAGATCGAACCACCTGAAGAGCCTGATTTTTTTGGACTAGAAGAGGCGAAGGAAACAAAATCTAACAGTACTACTAGCCCTGCCGATGCATCAGAAGATCCATATCAGGACTTGACACTGGGCAAGGAGTTGCTCATGGCTTTCAAAACAGTAGACAAGGAAGAGAAGAAGAAAAAAGGATCCAAGAAGCCCTCTGGCTCCACAAGCAGCAGTTCTCGAGAGAAAAGCAGAACAAGATCGAGGAAGAGAAAGGACAAGGGCAGAAGGAAAGACAAGTCATCTCAAAGGCGTCCCAAAAGAAGAAGAGGCCATGAGAGAAGAAGGACAAGATCCACTTCGAGCTCGAGCGACTGGACAACTTCTGCAGGACGCAAGCGTCGTCGCAGAAGGTAGTTTCACTACCACAGGGTTTCAACGTGCAGTACGAGCATGAGCGAGAAAAAAGTTGGAGCTATCACTTGACATGAATGTTCACATAGATGTCATTAAAACAGGAATAAGTTTTCTTTCCATGACAGTTGCAAGACATGGCAATATGAAACAAACAGAGATACGCTTTGAATCACCATGTCAGATGTGTCAAGCTGAGAGGTAGAAACTGTGAGAGAGACTGAGAGAGACGGCTTTCAAGTTTAAAGATGTTTAAAGAATGTTTTGAAACGTAAGTGACATTGGATCGCATTTCATTTATTCTTCTCGACATAAGCCGAAGGAGTAATGATCAAATAAGTCTCTGTTTAAAAGGTAATGTTGCAAAATTGATGCTCTGAAAACATCAGCTACCATTTCACCTGTGTCGACACTTCACCAAAAACAACGACATGTAAAAACAACAGACAATAAACTCTCATGGTAAACTCTCACAGTTGTTCATGGTGCAAGCACTCTCATAGTAAACTACCACATAGTAAATTCCCCTGGTGAACTCTCATGGTAAACTCTCATGGTAAACTCTAGAGTAAACTCTCACAGGATATATTCTCGTATAAAACACTAATAGTAAACTTTGAGTAGCAAACTCTCGTAGTGAACTCTCAGAGTTAACTGTGACAGAAAACTTTCATAGCAAACACTTATATAGTAACCTCTCAAGCCATCAGGGCCGCCAAACAAACATTCCTTTTTTCCTCTGTGTTCTTGCCAAAACGCATATGCGTCATGTCATGATGCAACACTCACGGTCTCAAAAGTCATGCTTGGTCACTCACGTCTTGTGACAAACATATTTTTTCTCTGTTTTTGATGTGCTATATTATAGGAAAAATCGCAAACGTTGAAAAATGCTACAATGTTCATGCTGGTCGAATTCCAAGATGAGGTGCTTTTTGGTACACTTGCAAGAGAGACTGTGAGAGAGTTCAAATACTTTGAGAGTTTGATTGTACATGGCAAGCCTCACTTTTTACAGACTGGTCGCACATAGCTGTTTTATCGAAACACAAAGGGGCGTACTCCGTTCGTGACCTTCCACCCATGGCGTCCCAAAGTTCCTTGATGCGTTTCAAGTCCACCTGCGACGGTTGGAACCCAGCTGACTCCCAAGAAGTTCCAGATTCACAAGAAGCTGAGAAAGGTGACACGGACTCAGAGAAGACCCTTTGCCTGGATGACTTCGCAGAGACTGAGGAGAAAGAAGGTGGGCTCACCCAACAAGCTACACCTGACGACTTCAAGGAGATGAAGCCTGCCGAAGAAGTTACACCTGACCTGAGCAAGGAGACAGGAGAGTTCTTTGGGCGCAAAATGAAGGTGGCTTATGGTCCAGGGTATGGACCTGGGTCTTTGGATGGAGCCATGCTGCAAACTCTTCTGGGTGGCCTCATGGATAAGACGAGGCTGAAGAACTATGTGGGTGGATTCGAGGAGCATCTGGCTGATGCTGCCGCATCATCGAGCCAGAAGACTCCTGATCAGACTCGTGAGAAGACTCCTGAGAAGAAGCCAGCAGGAAAGAGTGTACGCAAGAAGAAGGGAACTTCGTCCAAGGGTAAAACACCCAAGAAGTGATCTCTGAAACAACAACAGAGTATCTCACATTTTGTTGAGCAGCAGCTTGATGAAGCTGGATTTTTTGTGATCGTGTTCATTGCCGAGAAAACAAGCGCAATGTACTGAGCAGTTTTCATACTTTGCTGGCTTACTGACTTCGAAGTGTCTAAGTAGTTTCGAACAAACTTCGACTTTGTTACATATGGCCAAACGCCATTGAGCCATTGACAGGTTTAGACCAATTTTGCTGAAATGGCAAATAGACTTGACATAGAAATGATCAGATCTAGCGCAGAGTGCCGACAGAGATTTGGAAAAAAGGTGCGTCTCACTTCTTGAACACAATCATGTACTTTGAGAACATGTCCACAGCACTTCGAAGTTTCTAAGAAGTTTCGAAGAAACTTCGAAGCTATGACTTAGAAGTTTGTTCGAAGTTTATTCGTAGTTTCCAATGAAACTTCGTACAAACTTCGAAGATATGTTGATAAAACACTGTAAATACCAATATATTTGATAATGAAACTTCGAAGTTGGACTTCGAAGTTTCCATCATAAACTTCGAATTGCCCTTTCGAAGTTTCGAAGAAGTTTCGAACAAACTTCGAAGCTTACATTTGACTGCTGTTTTTGGCCACTGTCGCACAATCAACATTTTCAATCAGTTTCGTTCAGAAACTTGTCATTTGTTTTGACTCCACAAGACGTTTTCACAACTTGTCGGATCTACTAACCGCAGAATTTTCTTTCCAGCCACTTAGATACATTCATAGGTTTCGACTTCTGTGAAGAGCTGTGTGCTTGCAATGCCGGTTTTGAAACGACCATCATCGAATTCTTCGGCAATGCCCAAAAAGAAGCCAGCCAAGGAGACAATCCCAGGAACAGTTGCAAGTCTCAGGAAGGGGATTCAAAATGATGATGACAATGCTGATGGTGATGAAGGACAGCGGGACAAGTTGAAGGCTGAGAAGTGGGCAAGACTTCGTTCCACTGGCGCACTTCCGGAGTACTTGCTGCAGCTGTACGACCAGGAGTCAAAGCAATCACCGCTGGGGAAGCGGGCATTTCAAACCACAATCATAAACAAACTCTTCAAGAAGGTCAACGGTGCCTGGCAATTGGACACGAGTGACGCCCAATTCAAGGATTACAAATCTCTCTACGAGCGCCGCTACTCGAAAGAGGAGAACGAAGCGATGCCGAAATCGTTGATTGTGGGCCTCTATTATCAGGGGGACGAGCAGAAATTTAACCGAGCTTTGGAATTGGGCGAACTGCAGCATGTCAAAGATGACGGCGGTGTGCGGTTCTACTCATACAAGAAGCTCACCTCTGCAGTTGAGAAGGGCAGTGATCAGAGGCTCGAAGCCATTGGGACGAAGAAAGGCAAACTTCAAGAGTTTCATGAGATTGGGAATCTTTTGTCCAAGCTGAGCTGGACGTTTCGCAAGAAGCCAGGAGATCAGAAGGAACTTACTGCTGGGAGCCTCCCCACTAGCTACGAGGCCTTGATCAAAAAAGCACATGGAGCTTGTGACAAGTTGTCGAAGGACACGCTCAAACTTCAGAAAGAGGTGGGGCATGAGCGCAAAGAGATCATGAAGGATGGATACAAGTCCATGACTGCTCACTTGGCCACTTTGGATCACATGAAAAACTTTGTGGAAATGCCAGATGGCACGAAGCTCACCAGCACGGTTTTCGAATCAGCTCTTGGAGATATCGCTTCTTCGGTTGACCAGCTGAACACGAAGATTGAGGAGATCAAAGGCTACATGAAGTCCAAGGCCAAGTGAGTCTTGATTCAAGTCTGTGTGAGATATCCACAGAAAATTTCTCAAGGGCCTGAATACAAATGTTTGAGTATGTGTGTGAAAACCACATAAATTTTGTGTATCTGGCCGTCAACGGTGAGTCAAATGCGATGGGGAAAACAGTGCAAATGCGTGACAGTTTTTCTGTATATGCTTTGAAAACAAGTTCTTGTCAGAGAAACACTCTGTGAAACATGTGTGTTCATGCTTTTTTTACAATTAAATTGGGACCCAAGGTGTGGTGGTATTTACAGTTGTTTAGTTTTGTATATAGTTTGCCTGGTTCTAGTGTTTGAAAAGAACTTTGAGATAACCATGTGGGAAAACGTTGTGTCAGACTTTGAGAGAACTTTGAGGGATCTTTGAAAGAACCCTGAGAGAACCTTGAGAGGAAACCCCGAGAGAACTCTGAGAGAACTTTGATAGAACATTGTGACAGGACTTGGACGGACTACTTTGATAGAACATTGTGACAGGACTTGGACGGACTCTCTCTCTCTCTCTCTTTCTCTCTTTCTCTTACACATTTCTGACTGATGTCTTCTCATGCAACAAATTTCATGTACACAAATTACTTTGATGCCCTCTGTGCAGTCGTACTGTCTAACCGTGAGCGAGTGAGAGTAAGATTTGGAGTGAGAGTGGGTTACTTTGAGAGAGGAAAGAGATGGTTTACGGGTATCACATTGTGTGACGAATCTTGTCTAAAACCTTCCATTTTTAAACATCCAGATGCTGAAACAAAAGAACACAGTATCAGAATAGTGAATTATGATCCTGGAAATCGATTATCGAAAGACTTTTTCAAACATGTTCAAACAGTTCTAACACATGTATACTGTGCCATTGGTGACGTAGCATTTTCCTCATATCAATTTCAAACCCTTTCGTGTAGTTGTGGACTGTCACTTGAACCTGCGGCCATGGAGACCTTCCAGCTGAAGAACCTGAACCCTGCGCAGCTGTTTCAGCTGTTGTTCCTCACCGTGCTGGAGCTGGCAGAGCGCTTCCAGATCAACCTGAGGGGGCGGCCGCGTGTTTTCATGCGGGAAGAACCTGATGAGGAAAACCCACCAGAAGCTGTCCAGCCACCACCGGTGCCAGCTCATGGGCCAGTACGTGCTCGCAGATGCCAGAGTGCCTGCCGCTTCTGCGTGCAAGGCTGCGACCGAACGAAGCCCTACCACAAGCATCATGCTTGCCAAGGACATGCCCACCTGAGGTTTTGAACTTTGAACAAGGTTCCACAGCAGTACAATAGATTATACAGTATTTAGCAATTCATGCAAAGTTCCAACCTTGAACCTTACAGATCTTCAGGGAATTGTGGAGCGCAGAGAAGAAAAAAGGCGGTCGCATCCTAGAGAAAGTCGAGAAGTTTTGGGTTGAAGTTGGTTCACTGTGAGAGAACTTTGAGAGAGGTTGTCGTGTTGTGACCTGGTTTTTTTTGAGAGAGGTTGTCGTGTTGTGACCTGGTTTTTTTTGAGAGAGGTTGTCGTGTTGTGACCTGGTTTTACTTTGAGAGAACTTTGAGAGATACTATATCGTGTTGTGACCTGGTTTTGCTTTGAGAGAACTTTGAGAGAGGTTGTCGTGTTGTGACCTGGTTTTACTTTGAGAGAACTTTGAGAGAGGTTGGACTTGTGTAGAAGGAAAATGTCCGAAAGTTCTAGGTTTGAAGGCTGTCAAGATGGTTGCACGCTGACTCTCAAAGTGAACATCAACAACACTCTCATGGTTAGGACACACTCTCATGGTCGCCAAAAAAAACAGGAACAAAATGTGATATCCACTTTCTCGACCCCGTATGCAATGTTTTATTTTCAGATCAGAAGAACAAATAAATATGTCGTATAAATATCCAAACCTTTCAACACCATCATAGAGTATAAGAAGAGTTTCTTGTCAGGGCCACAGCTGTGCACCCCATATCGACATACATCTGAATTAGATCTTTGCTTAGCACCGCCATGGTGGCGCACATGTCTCGAAAACGTGATCGTTCTGGTGGCCAGAGGCAAAGACTGCGACGCATGTTGCAGGAAGAACAGCTGAACTGCCAGAGCGTTCTCTGTACTTGGTTGTTGTCAATGTTTGCATGGGGACACTTTAGCGTGCAACGAGTACAAAAGATCAGTGCTTTGGTTATGAAAGATTTGAAGAGTGCTGAGACTTCTGAAACAATCTGGAATGACTTGGAGACATTATCCAAGTTAGGAACTGAAGGTCTGTACGCGAACAAGATGCACACGGAGCTCATGGGCAAATGCAAAGGCTTGTCTAACCTACCGGAGCCTTACCCAGTGGATATCCAATATGCTCCGCCTTTGGGCATGCAGAAACAGGATGTTTTTCTTCCTCATGAAGTCTTCAGCGCAATTTATCACAAGTATCCACAAACATGGCAAAAAACGATGGTACCGTCGCAGGCTCACTTGGAAAGGTTCTGGACAGTCACCGATGGCCATCCAACCTTGGTTAATTCCCCACTGAAAGAATGTCCTTCTTACAAAACGAAAACTGTACCTATCCTGCTGCACGGGGACGGGGTTCCAATCGTCGGAATTGGAAAGGGATGGTCCAAGATTGCAACTGTGTTTAGCTGGGCCAGCATGCTTACATCTTCAGGGACCAAGGAGTCCATGAAATTTATATGGGGAGCTTTCGACAAACTCTGCAAAAAGGATGGTGAGGGAACTGATGGTACATTTTCAACATTTTTCAAAGTTCTAGTCTGGTCGCTGCAGTCTTTGTATTCGGGTAAGTGGCCCCATCGGGACCACAATGGACACTTATTTCCTTCATCTTCCTGGCGGGGAAAGTTGGCAGGTCAAGATCTGGCGGCAGGTTTCACTGGTTATCTTTTCTCTGTCATTGGAGACATGGATTATTTTTCATCGATACTACAGCTTCCTCACTTTAGCTGGGCAAAGGGGCCGTGTGCACTTTGCAAATGTACCCTTGGTGGAGTGACCACATGGACAGACTTTAGAAAGACTGCGGCTTGGCTAGGTACTCGGTGGAGCAAAGCCGACTGGTTTAATTTTGAGGCTCGCTCCATGAACCCTTTATTCAACGAATTACCTGGGCAATCTTGTCACACTGTGTCGCTCGACCTGATGCATTGCAAGTACTTGGGCCACGATATGTATTTCTTTGGATCAGTTCTCACACTACTATGCCAGTACCTCTTGCCTGGAAGCGAAGAACAGAATTTGAAAAGATGCTGGGACTTTTTGAAGCGATTCTACAAGGAGCATTCCATTCCTTCGCCTTATCGATATCTGACTAAGATATCTATGTTCATACGCAAAAAGAAGTTTCCCAAACTATGGGGCAAAGCGTCGGAGGTGCGACACCTAGCAAAACCACTATCAGCATTGTGGGCTCATTTCATGAATAAGAACGTGGAGACCCACAGACAAATCGATTTATATCTCAGACTAAATATCCAGTTTGAGAACATTTTGGGCGACCACAAGGATGACTATGCCTTACCCCTTGCTGCCTGCACTGCCTTTATGAATGCGGCATTTTCTATGATGCAACTGTGCTCATCACTGGCAGACCATTTTATTCAAGAGGGTATACCCATGTTCGACATGACGTCGAAGGCGCATGCTGTCCTGGAGATTGCAGTTCTCAGTCGTCACATAAACCCGAGAACTACTTGGTGCTTCCGAGGAGAAGACATGATGCAGAAAAGTCAAGTTTTGCTACAAAGTTGCGTTCGAGGCAACAACGGAGCCCTTTGCTTCAGGAAGATGCTTGCCCACTATAGATTGGGTTTACACATGCTTTTCACTGAGCACAAAGATTGAAAAAGTGACAAAAAACATGGCTTGGTTGTGATGGGACTCTATATGCTGGCGAGAAACTTGTGAACACAGAGAGAAATTTGTCGTATACATACATATCTATATATATATACACTTGTTTATTGATTTATTGTGCACTCATTCGTTTATTTGTTTATATCACAACACTAGATAGATTTCTCCTATGTATATCTACATATTTATATTGCAGGTTGTTTATGTCTTTAACTTTTAGGATATGACATGGTTCTTTTGGGATCACTCTCAACGGAGACACGCAGTCACACTTAGAGAGAGAGAGACCTGGAGAGTCATGAGATACTTGGAGAGAGATGGTTCTTCGATGTGGTGTGAGTGTGTTTTCTCTCTCTGTCAGAATTCGTTTATCAAAGGGCCTTTGGCGCCATCCCGACACGTCTTCCTGAGACTTTTGTGATCTCCCGAGCTCAAGCCATGGACGTGCTTTGCGACCGCGATGAGTCCCCGTGGTTCAGGGTCCTTTCAGGAATGGTGTTCCTTATCAATGCTGGCTATAGGGATCGATTTTTCTTATCCCTCATGGACTTGCACCTTGGTGAAAAATAGTACTTGTCTTACTTTTCTTTCTTTTTGGAGTGGATGCTCGATTAAAAGGGTTTTGCCAAACACTCTTGACGTGCAGGCACAAGTTTTACAATGGCTGTCCATGGCAACGAAAGGAGGACCATTCCGCAGGGTTCCACGAACGTTCTCGCTTTCAGTGGGGAAGTTGGGAAATCAAGGCAAGGGGAGTTCAAACATATTTGTTGGGTCTAGGGCATAGAGAATCTAAAGTGTTTTCAAGTTTAGGTTTTGTATTAAACACAAAAAAAACATTGTGGTAAACACCTTCGTTGAATCTGTTGGTGTCCAACCTTGCTGCCAGACCATGAATGGCCTTGTGGTTCCTCGATGGGATCTTTGGATGTCGAACCGTGGCAAAGCTCGAGACTTTTTCGAAAGTTGGCTACATGTGCAGATGCGAGACTCTCCAGGCAGCGACCTCACCTACCAAGTATTGGTCTTCTTGGATCGGCTCTTCATGGCAGGCTTGAAGCTATATGGTGAAGACCACCGAGATGTCTTTGAAAATCCTGAAGACTTCTTTGTGCGAATGCTGCGACATGAAGGGCAACTTGGATACACCATATGAGATTACATTCTTCATCTTTTGATAGATAGATAGATAGATATATATATATATATGTGTATTTTTACGTGGTTTTGTTGGATGCAGAGAAAACTATACAATCACCTGACCTCCATACTTTTTGAAAAACATTATGGATGTGTTTTTTGTTTCACTGAGAGGTGTTTCCCTGAATCCAATGAGGTACCGTGTCGAAGATCAGAAAATATGGCTTGTTGACGAGAGCAGCGGCTGGTGGGAGGAGAAAAAGCCATGTGGTCTAAATTTGAAGGAAGCGTTTGACTTGTTGCACGATGTGAAACTAAAAGACATCATGCAGCAGTGGGTTGAACCCAATGCTCCTTCTTTGCAATGGCAATAATGAGAAGTATATACGGAACATGTGCAATTTATGTTTACAAAATATTTCAGCTGGACTGAAACACATGAACACCCACATATATATGTATATTACGATCCTATACAGTATATGAATAATTTCATGATGTTATCATGTGAGAGGAGTGTCAGAATATACAAAAAAAATCATTGCCTTTGCCGCATATAAGCTTTTTTGCTTTTGAATTTTGGCCGGCCTTCACCCGAAAAACTTCGGTGTTGTGGCAGAGCTGAGACTAGGAATTGTCTAGTCTGGTAAAGATCTGAAGGATCCCTTTTTAGGACCCACAGCTGTTTACAGGACTTGGACTTTTGGATGTGTCCAAATCTGTACTATGTAGGAATAGGCACGGAGACAAACCGATCTCTGGCTCAAAAAGGAAAGCAGTGCTCTTGTGTGTGAGGGGAATGGGAACGAATTTGGGCGAGAACCCTGAGAGAAAACTTTGAGAGAACTTCGAGAGAACTTTGAGAGATTTCTTGGACATGTGTTTTTTGAGAGAGATGATATTTAATGTTGTTTTTGGGAGATATGATATATTTAGAAAGAAAGTATGTTCATTGGATTTCACTGAATACAGCTACGATGTGAACAATGCAAATATTCATTTGGTAATCATACCTTCCTAACTATTTCGATGACACTCTCACAGTCAACTCTCATGGTAAACTCAAACAGTCAACTCTCATGGTAAACTCCTACAATCAACTGTCATGGTAAACTCTCACAGTGAACTCTCATGGTAAACTCTTACAATCAACTCTCATGGTAAACTCTCACAATCAACTCTCATGGTAAACTCTCACAGTCAACTCTCATGGTAAACTCAAACAGTCAACTCTCATGGTAAACTCAAACAGTCAACTCTCATGGTAAACTCCTACAATCAACTGTCATGGTAAACTCTCACAGTGAACTCTCATGGTAAACTCTTACAATCAACTCTCATGGTAAACTCTCACAATCAACTCTCATGGTAAACTCTAACAGTCAACTCTCATGGTAAACTCTCACAGTGAACTCTCATGGTAAACTCTTATACAATCAACTGTCATGGTAAACTCTCACAGTCTCTCATGTTAAACTCTCACAGTCAACTCTCATGGTAAACTCTTACAAATCAACTCTCATGGTAAACTCACAGTCAGCTTTCATGGTAAACTCTTACAATCAACCCAAATGGTAAAGTCTCACAGAATCAACTCCCATGGTAAACTCTCACAGAGTCAACTCTCATGGTAAACTCTCACAGTCAACTCCCATGGTAAACTCTCATATATTTTGCACTCATATATAGAAAACGCTCAATCCATCAATGCCCCAAGCAAATGAACATGTTTCTCTTTCTCTTCATGTCTGATACAAGTTTTCTCTCAAAATGATAAGTGGGGACAGATCAAAAAAACTATCAGAGGATGTATACACCCAAAAAGAGATGCCCCAACAAAGGTATACTGTGAGATATACCATGTATGGTGCTGTGCATTTACTGTGAGAGACCACATGTTGATAACATACTGTGAGAGATTTTGAATTATGAGGAATGCCGAGAGAGAGGGGGAGAGAGAGAGAACCACTATGTAGCAAAAGAGACATTGCCTGTAGTATCTTGACCGTTCGTGTTCTAATGCATATATAATATATTGATGCATGCACTGAATCAAACTGGAACATGTTTACATGACATTGTGTGGTCAGAGCCAATGACAGTTTTTATGATCAAAACATCAAAATGCATCAATATATATGTATATATATTTATCACAACTTATTGCATGATCGTGTGTGTCCACAAAACTAAGAGGCAAATTATCTGTCAAATTTTCATATAAAACTCCGAAGCCAACTTCGAAGTTTTATATCGTGCCCCAGGTGTGACCCCGGAGTTCGTTCGAAGTTTTACTGTCAAAAATAGATATCTATTTCGGCAAATTCTATCTATTTATAGATATCTATTTCGGCAAAATTTATCTATATAGGTAACTCTAAATCTAACTATTTTTTTTGAAAATAGACAAATCAAAATAGATAGATTTCCAGAAAATAGTTTGCAAAAAATCTATCTATTTTGTAGTTTTTAAATAGTCTAAAATAGTTATCTAAAAAAATATCTTATATATAAAAATCTAGGAAATAATCAAAATCCTAGAATAGATAGGATTTTGTCTAATTCGGTCTATTGGGTAGTATTACTAGGTTCACCTTGCTACGCTGGGCAGTCAATGAGGATGATGATGAGTGGTTGGCACGCCGTGGCCAAAGCCGGCAAAAAAGATGTGCGCTCTGCGCAAACTTTGGCCGTGCATACCCACTCGGCGGCTACCAAACCGCAATTTGTGAAACCTGTATAGTAACCAAACAGTTAACTGCCTTTACGACAGACTCCCTTGTCAGACTGCTTGAGGCAGCACACAGAGAACTCCCGATGCAAGAAGAATTACCAGTAAGTGAAGACTGGGAAAAATGCGTCGCATGTACAAAGGGGGATAATACTGTAGGGCATTGGGTTCGGTGGTGCGTAGTACCTATCAGTGCACTACGAAGCCTAACAGGTGATGATTCAATACTGTCGCTGGCCGAAGGGTCAAGGAAGAGCGTTAAGCACTTAGCAATTGCCTCACGAGTAGTACATCAATTCAGGTTGCTACTACGGGAAGCTGGTGCAATGAGGCATCAAATCTCTGCTCCCCTTATCCCCATGAATACCTAGATACATAACCTCGTGCAAAGAGTACAAACAGAGCTACCCCTGGACCTTCGTATGCAGCATGTAAGGACACAATCGGTCTCCGCCCACTGTTCTGTTGATGACTCGCTCCTCTGGTGCTGTGACAAACCCCCACTCCACATCTCGTGCGCCCTTGCACCAGCTCGGGTATGCATTACGCGTGAAGCAGTGAAAGCCAATCAACCGGTTGCGGTTGTCCCCTTAGGCTCTGAACCTCTACAATTAATTCAGCAAGCTATTGTCTCGCTCTCCACTTTCCAGTGTGAGTGTGGCGACTATCATTGCCGTATTACGGCATTACAGCCTATAGGCACCGATGAAGTGCTCAGCAGCTATCTTGTGTCTGACAAAACAACACTACTAGTACAATTTGACGGATCCTGTCATGCTGATAGGGGAACAGGTGGAGCGGGCGCTGCTCTCTTAGAGCTCCAGCGAGAAGGATTAACGCTGCTCAAATGGAGGTCTGTTGCACTGCCTAGCTGCCCAGACAATATATTTGCTGAGGCGGTATCAGCAAATATCGCAACAGACCTTTTGTGTGAGGAAATTGCACACAGAAGCTACGCAGTTGACCAGGCCTTTCTACAAGGGGACATCCTCCCCATCGTTAAGCACTTAGCCTTTGCAGGACGTTTTCGTAGGATAGACCTACAGCCTATTATACAGCAAATTCGCCGGAAACAATCGAGGTTTTTTGACTATGGAAAATGGGTATACCGTCCAAGAGAAGCCAATATACTTGCAGACTATCTTGCTGGCGTGGCTAGCAAAGCGGCCCAGGCCTTCCCAGCTCATGTAAGCGAGCCTACAGAAATCGTTGTTGAAGCGCCCTATCAATTGGCTATGCAATCTGGAGCTGTTGTACTGGAAGAGAGGCCTCTAGGGGGTACGATCTTACTACTTACCGAGGTCCCGAATATAAGTATAGAACTGGTAAATAAATTTATTGTGCAAGCTGCAAACCAGCAATATCTCAAAGAGGTGGAGGCCTACCTAGCGGGCACTGCCAATCTCACGAAACCCCGAGTAGTAGAGTATACGGCGTCTGCAACAGACTGTCTGGGCCGACTGTACGGTAGAGGTCCCTGTGCTCAGAGACTACCACGAAAGGTGCGATTACTTCTATTTGGAAATACGCACCAGGAAGTGGACATGATCGGCGCATTCTATGAAATCATGAGACGACTCCTTCGCAGCAGCCACCTCCCACATATAGTAGATCTCAGAGCAATACTTACTGATCTGCTAGGGTTGGTATCGCTGAATCAGCGGCCTGCAATTGTTAAGCGACATCCACTAATTGTAATGAATGCAGGGGCAAGAGAAGCGTGTGCCAAAATAGAAAGGGAACACCATATCATATGTCCTCCAGCTTTATATCATATCAGCTTTCAAATTGAATCAGCAACACAAGCGCTTGTTAATGACCACTTGCCCTTAAGGAGGCCTCAATACGTTGCTCATGTCAGAGGTGCTGCTTTTCGAACTCTTGAATGGTATGAAGAACACATTATGATCTCTTACTACAAGGAGCTAACGAGAAGGTGCCACGTAACATCAGCAATTTGGCTCCATGACGGACTCTGGCTCCCGAAAGAAATCTCTCCACACTTAATTTATGAAGCAGAACGGGCAATGCTCCATCAATTACAGCTGGATTCATGCGATCCCCCCCTCTTCAGTATACGTGAACTTGCCGCAGATGCTCAGGCTCTTATACAGACTCTCGATGATGTTAACGTGGCCAGAAATCCCTCCCCCCTCCCACGTACCGAAAGGAAAAGAAACATCGAAAGTGAACTCTTTGGGACGCGACCCATTCGGTGGAACACACAAGCACCAACATCAGGCTTTGATACCTTTACAGAACGCATGGCCAAACGGCGTAGAGCAACCTAAATACCTATCCACGGTAGTGTAGCCTAATGGCATTTACGATTGGATGATCTTCGTTTTCAGTCAGGCGTATGGTGATTCCACCCCTTCCTAAAGAGATGCCTCTATTGACTACGCTAGTTGAAGTATCACCTCACAGTTAGTAGCCACGACGATTGACCCGTAGCACCTATCTGTCCCTACCCACTCTCAGCCACAGAAATTTTCCATCCAAATAAGTATGACAAGTGCTGTAGAATCCGAGCCTATTCTTTACTTCCTTCTCTTGGAACACCTTTCCCTGTGTTACTGTTATGAGGGAAGGCGTAATATGGTGACTCATGAGCCGTTTTACTGCTCACAGGTAGTCAATCCT